GCCAAACGTAGCCCACAGCACATGTCGACTGTGCAGGCCACTTCCTTGGACATGCCACTTCCTTTGGTTTGTACCCCCGAGCCTACCATACCAGCATTTACCAATTTGGGCATAACCCTAGAAGATCTAGAGAATCTAAGGCCTCTGGTCTCTGAGTAGGCAGAGACCTCTCTTGGAGGCAGAGACAGTTTGGGGGGAGAGCAGCAAACATGGGTCCCCCACCCCACAACTGCTTCCTTCTTTGTAAAATGGAATTTTTCTAGGGAGATGGATACCAGAGCTGAGTTTAGAAATGCTTAGCATCAGCCACTTAGATTTCCCTCTATCCACCTGGGTGGGAAATTAGAAGGGAGAGAGGGGAGGTAGCAGCCCTGAAGACAGGGAGGCCCTCGAGTGAGGGGCGGGCAGCGTAGGCTGCACTAAGCAGGGTGCAGAAGGCGCCCGGGCAAGCCAGGATGATGAGCAGAACCCACGCAGCCTCTGTGAGTTCTGGGTGGATGAGTTTCTGCTTCTCACTACGTGCAGTGGCTCAGAGCTGCTTGGATGCCCTGCTGCTCCGAGGGGATCTCCTTCCTGTGCTGACAGTGAGCGGGGCCAATTCCACATAAGCCCTCTTCCTTCCTTGTCTTCAACAGGAAGGAAGAAATGGATTGGTCCTCAGACTGTGTGCATTACATGCCCTTGTGGATAAACATACGAACATTCTTCAAACTTATATTACTATGTACTCTTTTTTTTTTTTTTTTAAGGGAAGTATAGCCAGATGCCAGTGGCTCACACCTGTAATCCTAGCTACTCAGGAGGCTGAGATCTGAAGATCATGGTTGGAAGCCAGCTGGGGCAGGAAAGTCTCTTATCTCCAAGTAACCACAAAAATTCAGAAGTGGAGTTGTGGCTCAAGTGGTAGAGCTCTAACCATGAGCACAAAAGCTCAGGGATAGCAGCCAGGCCCAGAGTTCAAGCCTCAAAACAGAAAGAAAAATAAAAAGTGCCAGGAGAAGATATTAATTGGGAATAGAAATAGAAACTATGGGCTGGGTGCAGTAGCTTCCCGAAAGACAGAGATAAGGAGGATCCCAGTACCAGGCCAGCCTGGGCAGAACATTAGCAAGACCCCATTTTAACCAGTCAGCTGGATGTGGGCTGGGCCTGTGATCCCAGCTACCCGGGGAGGCCATGGCTGGGCTGACTATGGTAGAGACTAGTCTCAGCAAAACACGAGACTCTATCAAACAAATAAAGCTAATAAAGGGCTGGGAACATGGGCTCAAGTGGCGGAGGGTTTGCCTAGCCAATGGGAGGCCCTGAATTCAAACACCAGCACTGCCAAAGTCCATCAGTCAGTCATCAATGGGAGTTATAGGATGGAAGAGCCTTTTATCCACATGAGATTATATTTTAAGATCCACCAGTGGATGCCTGAAACTTCAGACTGAATTTATAGCCTCCTATTGATACACAGGTATACCTATGATTAAAGCTTAATTCATAAATTTGGCTCAGTAAAAATGATCAAGGTTGCAGAGGGGCAATTCTCCAAAGGCACACAATCCTTAATGGGTACCTAAGAAACAACAGAGAATCAAAACACATGAGGCAAAAACAATGGATAAATCTTCAAAGAGAAAGAGATGAACACACTATTATAGTTAAGAGAACTCAACTGTGGCACAAACAGAAAATCCCAGCAGGCAGAAAATCAGTCAACAGCCCCATCCATCAACTGGATGGGCCTGATACCTAGCAGCTATATCATCCAACAGCAGCACAATGCATACTCTTCTTGAGCTCACATGGAAGACACCAAACAGACCCACATTCTGGGTTGTAAAACCCACCTTAACAAGTTGGGAGATATCCAAGTCACACAGTGCATGCCCGGGTCACAATGGACATCAGTATGAGAAAGACGGCTGCGAAGCACAATAGAGCTTAAAAAGACATTTCTAAATAATGCCGGAGAAGCCAGTGAGAAATCTCAAGTGGAAGTTCCAAAAAAAAAAAAATCACTCTGAACTGAACGAAAATGAAACCTAACTTACACAATCTTGTGGGTTACAGCAAAAGCAGCAATTACACAGAAATTGACAGCACTGAATGCAGTATTAGGAAAAAAATCTAAAATCAACAGTCTAAAAACACTTAGAAGAGTAAATTAAAACCAAGTAAGCAAAAGGAAAAAAAAATCAGAAGTGAGGGGCTGAGAAGGTGGCTCAGTGGTAGAGCGCTTGCCTTGCATGCCTGAGGCCCTGGGTTCGATTTCTCAGCACCACATAAGCAGGAAAAAAAAGCCGGAAGTGGCGCTATGGCTCAAGTGGTAGAGCACTAGCCTTGAGCTGAAGAGCTGAGGGACAGTGCCCAGGCCCAGAGTTGAGGCCCCACGACCGGACCCAAAAAAAAAAAAAAAACAACGAAACAAAAATCAGAAGTGAATGACTCTGGAAACAGGAAAGCAATAGAGAAAAACGAACTAGTTTAACTAAAACTTAAAGTCTTTGAAAAACAAATCAAATCCATTAGCCCTTACACAGGCTAATTAAGAAATGATAGAATTTATTAATATCAGAAATGAAGAGAGCATATCCTTACAGATATTTTTGAGCATTAAAATGATTGTAAAAGAAGAATATGAATAACTCTACACCCAGAATTTGAGAACCTAGATGACATGAGCCAATTTTTTTTCTTGGTGCTGATACTGGGGCTGGACTTCAAGGCCTAGATGCTGTCCCTTAGTTTAGCTTTTTTTTTATTCAAGACTAGCAGTCTACCACCTGAACTACAGCTCTACTGTTGGCTTTTTGGTGGTTAGTTGGAAATGAGTCTCACAGACTTTCCCACCTAGGCTAGGTTTGAACTATGATCCTTAGATCCCAGGGATTACAAGGTATGAGTCACTGTGCTCTGCTAAATGATTTGAAAGAAAAAAAAATCTGCTAAAACTTACAGCTGAAGGAAGGAAGCAATCTGTCAGAAAGTACCAGGCCCAGGGTTCACTGGTGAATTCTACTGAACATTTAAGGAATAAAGTATATCAATTTTCTATAATTTCTTCCAGAAGATACAAGTGGAGAGAGAATCTTCTAACTCATCCTATGAGGCCAGCATTACCTTAAAATCAAAGCCACGAAAGACATTACGAAAAGAAGTATGGATTCAGATAGCTCATGAAAAATCTGCAAGAAAATACCAGCAAATTGAATAGTATATATAAAGAATTATATATCATAGCCAAGTGGGATTTACTTAAGGTATCCCTGGTCTGGTTCAACATCCAAAAATCAAGGAAGAAAATAAGAAAAATTATACCATCCTATCAATACACAAGAAAAAATCTATTTAGCAAAAACCAATACCCTTTTATGAAAATTAAAGAAACTTTCAACAAACTAGAAGAACTTCTTCAACTTGGTAAAGAATATTTACAATAGCCCTATGGTGCTCACACCATAGTCAAGATGAAAAAAGTAGGTTTTCTGTTAATTATCAGGAAATAAGGCAAATTTGTCCTTCCCACTTCTCATTTGGATCATCCTGGAAGACAAGAAAATTAAAATTATACAGAAAAGGAAGAGAAAAGGGAGAGAAGGAGAAGAGGGAGGGAGGAAGGGAAGGACGGAAAGGTCTTTTTTTTTTTTTTTTTTTTTTACAAGCTCATGCATATAAGAACACCAAAACCAACTGACAAAACAAAGGCAAACCACCACCACCACCACCACCACCACCACCAAAAACTTTTCCTTTTCAATTAATCCATCTTTTATTTTGTAACCATGTATATTTATTTCATATATAGCACTTTTCCCTGACTGTTCCACAGGCTTCTCACCAGTGGCTCTCTAGTCATTGTAAATACTCCCCCAGGACCAGTTTGAGCCCTTCTAGCAGGTGACAGCAACTACACATTACTACTCAAAATAGCACTTCACTGCCTGTCACCTGCAGATCACCTGTCATCTTCCCCCAAAGTTTCAATACCTAATGCAAGCATTCCACCACCGTGTCCCAAAGGAACCTGTGGCAATATTTTGAGGCAAGAATCTTAAACCTCAGTGATATGCTCTAAAGAAAACAAACAAACCAGAAAAAAACCCTTAGCCCTTCCAGATCTTTTTGTTTACATATATAGGAGATGCAGTACTTGCCTTTTGGTGTGTGGCTTATTTCTTAACATAATGTCCTCCAGTTTGCCACAGTGACAGAATTTCCTTCTTCTTTATTGCTGAATAATACTCTGTTGTTGTACACCCGCTACATTTTATTTACTCAATCATGTGCTGCTGGGCAGCTAAGCAGACTCCCTATCATAGCTAGTCTGAGGAGTGCTGACTTCATTGCCTTTGAGTATTTACCCCAAAGTGAAAAAGCTGGGGTATATATTCTCTTATGTTAAGAGTAGAATACTGTGGGGCTGGGAAGGTGGCTCAGTGGTAGAGCACTAGCCTTGAGCTGAAGAGCTGAGGGACAGTGTCCAGGCCCAGAGTTCAGGCCCCATAACTGACCAAAAAAAAAAAAAGAGTAGAATATTATTAGGGTACAAGATGGGAGGCTGGACTTGCTAGTGGTACCTTCTTCTACTCATCTATGGAGACCTTATACTGAGACCCATTCATATAACATGCCCAGTGAATGCCTGAGGATAAAATAAATAAAACTGTGGACTTTGAAGAAACTGTAGTGAAAACACAGCCCTAAACAACTTTGAAAACACCTAGTATGGGCTGGGAAGTTGGCTCAGTGGTAGAGCACTTGCCTTGCATGCCTGAGACCCTGGGTTCGATTCCTCAGCACCACATAAGCAAAAAGAAAACACCTAGTATGTAGTTATCATATGACTGCCAGGTTGCTCCCCCCACTCCACTCCCACACTCTCCTCAATCACCCCATTTTAGAAGAGAAATAATTCATTTCTAGGAGTAAGTGTTCCATAGTGCTCTCTAAGTATCCAGTAATCAGTTTCCTCCTACTTCAAATGAACGAATATGTATGCATGTGTTACATACATTTTAGTCTTTCTGTGATTTAATTTTTCACTGTGAAACTTTCAAAGAGGTGGAATCAGTACCATAATACATTTGACAGTGTTTGGTAAGAGAAAAGTTTTTCAGGTCGATTATGTTTCTTGCACATCGAAGTCACACTTGCTCCAGTTCTACAAGGACCCCGCCACAGTCTTTGGGATGGAGAAAAATTACTGGTTTTCCATGTGCTCCTATTTTGGTATCCTCGGTCAGGCTTCGGATCTTCTTTTTTTTTAATTCGATCACGGCTGCCTTTATATTATCCACCTTGAGAGACGAAACAAGAACACATGAGATCATAAAAATGCCAAGTTGCATTACTGTAAGATGTACAAGAGACACTGAGAGCTTCTGCAATGTCCTCTGTCTTTGGACAGGGCCATTTATAAGCCATCACTGGGCTGGGGGTACAGTCCAGTGGTCCAGCACTTGCCTAGCAAGGGAGGAAGGCCCCGTGTTTGATCCCCAGCACTGCAAATGCACACACACACACATGTAAACACATGTACACACAAACAAGGCCTAACTGTTTCAGAAAAGTAAGTTGTCTAAACATCTCTAGGTGAGCAACTGCGATGCCCACGAATTCTCATCACCAGTAAAGGTTTCCATTTCTAACTCAAATCACCTAGCTGGCACTTAGTTCCTTTTGATGATACTGGGAAAAGTGATTTTTTTGCTGTTTCCCTCCCCGCCCCCCCAGAGACTTGGGTTCCTCAGCTATAGCAAGAAATGGAAGCTACTGTCATTTGGGTCGTAAGTGTCCCTGAAGTCCCTGTGGTAAATGCTGCTCTCCAGGGAAGGGATATAGGAGGGAGGCTTTTAGGAGGTCTAGAGGGAGATCTTCAGGTTATGGGGTGTGCATCCTTGAAGGGAATAGAGAGACCCACGCCCCCTCATCTTCTCCCTTCCTCCCTCTCTCTTTCTTCCTCCCTGGTGAGCAGTTTTTTCTGCCATGCACTCTTCCCATGATGCCTCCAAGCTGACCAATCCTGGACTGAAATCACCAAAATGGTGAACCAGAAATAACCTCTGATCACTGCAGATATATGTTAGAGTGATGGGAAGCCAGTCAACACAGAGGCCTCTCGTAGAAACTACAAATCAAAATGGCCACAGATAAGCTCAGTCCAGTCTGCACACAGCAAATGTGAGTACCCTTGTCTCTCCCCTCTCAAACCAAGTGGTTATAATCGTTGAGATATTCGTCCAACACATGAAAGTCATTTTTAAACTATCAAAATGTTATTGTCCATCATAAAAATCTCAACGTTATGATTTCACAAGTCTCTTATTTGTGGTTTATGTACTTGATGAAGAAATGCCCCTCCTCCATCTTGGAAATCAGTCATTGGATAGTGAATCCAGCCACGGATCAGGAGACACGAATGCCCACTTCGCCAGTCTTCCTGCACAAGCTCTCAAGTGCTGGGATGAGCCACTGTGCCTGCTTTGTACTTCTTTACTGAAGCTCTAGGGCACACATATAACTACTATGCATGCATACTGGAAAAATTGAACGATTAAGAGCATTGACGGAGAGAGCTAAGTTTCTCTCAAGGGAAAAAACTAGAGTGTTCCATGTGGTAACAGCTGGAGAGGCCAGGTCCTGGTGCCTCACACCTGTAATCCCAGCTACTCAGGAAGCTGAGATCGGAGTGTGGTTCAAAGCCAGCCTGGGCAGAAAAAAGTCAATAAGGCTGAGAAATCCTTTTCTCCAATTAACTATCAAAAAAGATTAAAGGGGAGCTGTGGCTCAAGTGGTAGAAGGCTAGCCTTGAGTAAAAACGCTCAAGGACAGCCCACAGGCCCTGAGTTCAAGCCCTGGGACCCGCATGTGTGCACACACACATATACACACAAAATGATAGTCACAACACATAACTCTCCATTTCCTCAGAGTACACATCACAAAATGCCTATCTCCCAAAGATATATAGCATTGAGCAGTATAGAAACTTGACAGCACCTCCTTGGGGTCAAGGTTAATATGAACCATGATAGGTCATGTTGAAGTTTCTCTGAAGAGAATGCAGCTGACCACTGTATTCTTCCTCCCCAGGCCAGCAATCACAGTACAGTCAGGAGAAAACCATCAGACCAATCTCAAACGAGATTTATATTTACAAAGTAATTGACAAGAAATCTTCAACTTGATGAGGTCATCAAACAACCAGGCAAGAAAAAAAATGCAAGGACATGAGACATCTAAACAGGCTCTGGAATATTGGATGGAATTTGAAAGGACACTGTGTCAAATCTAAGGAAATCTGAATAAAATGCTGGCTTCAGTAATAATGGATCAGCATTGGTTCATTAATTGGGACAAATGTATCCTACTAATGTTAAAATGTTAGTAACTGGAGGGGGGGGGGGTAGTGCTTGAAGAGATTAATCACTGGGCCTTGTTAGAATCTTAATTAGAATAAGTCAGCTGTAAAAAGATAATGGTAACTCAATCTTGTAAATATGATTTATGGACTGTATAGACCTGGTGCCTGCAAAGATTTACCTTTACTTTTGACTGATATGTCATGAGGTTCTTTGTTAGGCACACGAGTTGAATAGGGCAGAATAACATGCCGAAATTACTTTAAAATGGCTCAATAAATGAGAAAAGACAGATGAGGTAGGTATGGCTCTGAGTGAAGGCATCTGGGAGTAGACTGAACTCCCAACATTTTGAGTAGGGAATATGTTTTGTTTCTTCTTTTAAAATTATCTTTAAGTAGTTGTACAAAGGAGGTGCAATTTAACAAAGCAGTTTAAGAATACAGTGCCTCTTGATCAGGGCCTTACCCATCCTTCCCCTAGCTACCTACCCTTCCCTCTTGATTGCGTTTTCCCTCTTTCTCTTCATTTGCCTACCTGCTTTCCCCTGGGCTCCACCCCATACCTTTTGAATCCCTGATGTTTTCTTTTGCTGAACTTTGACTGCCTTTTTAAGGAATTACATTCTGAGTTCTCCCTTAAATCTACTGTATTTATTTAGTTAATGCATTTGTATACACCTGCATACCACCCAACACATTTACTTAAATTTATAAGCCCTCTGGATAACTTCTATTTTACATCAGATCATGAATGTTTTATAGAGTATTCTACCCAAGTACAAACTTACAATTCTAATATTGCACCCCAATTTTTGCTTATTCAATATCCGCTAATCCAAGAAATAATTCAAAAAACAAGAAAAACATCCAAGATGTAGTGAGTGATGATTTATTTTTGTAAAATGACTAATTGATATTGGACGGGCATCAATTTCTTTTTGTTGCTATTTCTTTTGCTAACTTTGGTTTTAAAGATCTACTCTTCTGTTAATGTTGCTATGTAAAATTTGTAATTCTTTAGGAGTACTCTGAATGGTTTGTTTGGAAGTAATAAAAAGAATGAAATAAAAATGTCTTAATTTTCTGAATTGAAAGGCCATCCAAAATAGTTATATAAGAAATGCAAGTCGATTTGTTTTGAGAAATTAAATCTATCCCCCTAAGTAATGAAAGTAATATGGTCAATAATAACCCATCTTTAAAAATAGGTTTTTATAGTCTTTTAAAACAGCTTTTATGGTTCTTCAAACAATTACACTTGTGCATAGATAGCTCCTGTAGGGTCTTGAGTATGTTTGTGAAACTCTGAGCTATATGATTTCCACTTCAATTTCCTGCCAGCTTTCGGGTGTATGAATGTGTGACTGAAAGTTCTTGTTGATTTTCCTGTCATTGTAAATTGAAAGTGGCAATAAATTCAAATAAAAAGCATGTGGACCGTCCCCATCACAATTCATTATCTGCAGGTAAATTTTCTATCTTCTTTAGTGCTCAGCTGCCTGATCTGACTACGCCCATTACGTTTTGTTTGGTGGAAGGCAAGCTGTGGGGTAAATAGCAGCTTTAAACCTGAAGGTATATAGGTGGCTTCTACTTTTATGAGCAAGTAAAATTTGATGAACAAGTCACAGTGTGCCACAGGATATGTCAATCGACTTAACAAAACAGGCTTTTATTTTACATAAAATTATTCTGGTGTTAACTGATGCCAATAATGAATAATTCAATCCTAAATTTGATTTAAATCTCTAACACTTAAAACAAAAAGTCAGGATTAAATATTTATGTTTCTATTGTCTCTCCCCCTACAGCTAAAACTAAGTGAACTGCAGGAACACAGCAGTACTTTCATCATGCCTGGGGGTTGGTGGCTTCCAGTGTGCTCTTTGGAATGGCTTCACAGGGTGCTTGTTTCTAAAGCTTCCCTATTTGCTGCAGTAGTCACATACAATACTCCCCAAGCGCTGTCTCCTCTGAAATGTTCATCTGATAGCAAAACACTAAAAAAACAAACAACAAAAATAACAACTAGACTCAGCCAGGAGGTGGTGGCTCATCCTAGCTACTCAGGAGGCTGAGATCTGAGGATCACAGTGCAAAGCCAGCCCCAGCAGGAAAGACCATGAGACTCTTATTACCAATTAACCACCAGAAAACGAAGTGGCGCTGGGGATCCAAAGTGGTACAGCACTAGTCTTGAGCACAAGTGCTCAGGGGACAGTGCCCAGCCCCACAACCGACCAAAGGAAAAACAAAAACAAAACAAAAAACAATGAATGACAGAAAAAAATGTCAGAACAAAATTTAAGCACTCATGAGAAAAAGGACATTTAAGATGAGAAAAAAATAGCCCAAAGGTGTGAAACATGCCCAAACAGAAACCGTGAAAGCAGATCTCTGTGAGAAAGAACAAAGACCCTAGAAATATTACAGAGGAAAGAAAATTCTGCCACAGGTGAATTTAACATAATATAAAAACAGCTGGCATTGGGCTGGGAAGGTGGCTCAGTGGTAGAGTGCTTGCCTTGCATGCCTGAGGCCCTGGGTTCGATTCCTCAGCACCACATAAGAAAAAAGAAAAAAGCCGGAAGTGGCGCTGTGGCTCAAGTGGTAGAACGCTCGCCTTGAGCTGAAGAGCTGAGGGACAGCGCCCAGGCCCAGAGTTCAGGCCCCATGACCGGACCCAAAAAAAAAAAAAAAAACAAAACAGCTGGCATTAAGAAATATCTGGCAATAAACCATAACACTATAGAAATGTGAGCATTTTCAGGGGTATGGTAGAGTAGGCAGATTAGTTTACTGAATGGTAAACCAGGGCAACTGCATATTGCAGCTGGCCACCATTTAGCTGTTTCATGTATCATCTGAACCTGTGGTTACTCCGCCCCTTTGACACCTGGTGGCGCTCTAGTTCAGTTTCCATCAACTGCTGTGGCTTTAGGGATTGGCACTTTGGAGATTCTGAGTAAATGTAGCCCTTCTTATATCCCCATGGTTTGGTGTTACTGAGTAACCCCCATTAAATCTCATTCTTTGGGTTGCTGGCACCGGCTCATTTCTGAGAAAAATCTCTATCTTCTATCTTTTGTCATATGCAAAAAGATATGTTTCTGAATAGTGCCTATGAGCTACATCTAAGAAAAGACTAAACCAGGTGCTGGTGGCTCATGCCTGTAGTCCTAGCTACCCAGGAGGCTGAGATCTGAGGATGGTGGTTCAAAGCCAGCCCGGGGAAGAAAGTCCGTGAGACTCTTATCTCCCATTAACCACCAAAAAACCGGAAGTGGTACTGTGGCCCAAGTGGTAGAGCGCTCGCCTTGAGCTGAAGAGCTGAGGAACAGCGCCCAGGCCCAGAGTTCAAGACCCACAACCGACAAAAAACAAACAAAAAAAAAAGGACTAAAGAACTCTCTTGCAGATGTAACATTTATTGTCCTTCTATTATGTCGAGTACTGGGAGCATTGAGTCTCAGATGCTTTCCTTTTGCCACTGATGTACTGTAAAAGTGCTTCTAAAGCATGGCCACACATCCTTGTGGGGACTCACCCTTGTGTGTCACCTGCCTTGAACCTGCCTTTGCCCAAGAGACCACGGCACAGGTCCTGTGGTGGACTTTGGAGGCTTGGCCAGAAGAGGTCACCACCGTCCTTGCTTGGTCTCCTCGGGACACTGGCTCTGGGGTGGCCAGCTGCTGAGTAAGAGGTCCACCACCTAGTGTCAGACCTCTGCTTAACTCAGACAGCAGAGGGACCCTCTGAAGGTGTGTCTCTGCTTTCCAGCTTGCCGACCTCAGCTGTGAGCCTCCATGTCAGCTGCCAGCCACCAGGAATAGGGCACCTGGGCCACCACTGTGGCCACCAACAGCTGTCCCCTCACAAGAGATCCAAAGCAAAAGCAGAGCTCTCCTGAGCTTTCTGGTCCCCAAAATCCGGAGTGGATGCCGGTTGCTGATAGTCTATCTCGTGGTAATGTGGTAAATAGAACAATGGCTACAGAAAGAGTTTCTGCTGGATACAATCCCTTTGTGAACAATGGGAGACAAGGCCAGACTCAAGTTGTATGAAGGAAGAACAGACCAAGCTACACAGGATCGGTCAACAAGAATGCATTTTCTGATCAAGGAAAGGCAAGACATTTTGTTCCACCCGCTGGGTCAGGGAAGCAAGTGGCCCCTTTCACTGGGTGCTGCTGTGGACGGCTACAGCAGGGAAGAAAGAGCAATGAGTGTTCCTGTCGTTCAGCGTTTCTCTATTCAGGAAGAATATCCCGCTCTTCTGGCAATATTAGGTTTTGAAAATTCCCAAGTGTAGCACGGCCTGAAGGCCTTCTTTTATTCCCTCGAGGTTTAGTGGCACACAGTGCTGTGTTCCTCCGTGTCTGTCTCCCTCACACCCACGTGTAACACGTGACGAAGCTCAGGCCAATGGAATAGGAGCAAAAGGGGATAGATTCTTAAAGGCGCTTGCCCTGTTTTCTCTCTGTCTTCTTCTTCTGGTAAACATGGATGTGTGACCAACCCCTGGGAGCCACTTGCTACAGGCTGCCGAGCTGGCCCGTCAGCTTTGCAGCTTCCTTTTTAGATTCCCAAGAGGAAAAGAAAAATCTATCTGGTTAAGTCACTATTCTGGTTAAGACACTATTTAAGTCACTATTGCAAGATGATGATGATATGGGGCTCAAGTAGCAACTCCCCACTTTTCCACACCTCCTCCTACCTCCTACCTCCATTTTTCCACTCAGACACTTGCCTTTGAGCTCTACTTTTGAACTTGCTGTTACTTTACCGAACTGAACTTCTCACAGCCTGTGTGCTTTGAAGCCATGGGCTCTCTTGATGTGGAACCCAGACAGTGCAGTGTGGGAGGAAGCAGAGTGGGGTTCAAAGGGGGGGCACGGTCCTGCTTCTCTTCAACTTTCACTGATAAAGCCTGCAGGCCCAAGGTAACCCAAGAAGGAAAGACAGGCTACAGTTCAGGCCCCACTTACCTGGTCTAATCGCCAGAAGCTAACCCTCCTCAAAATGTTAAACTAGGTCAAGAGACTGAAGGTTGGCCTCCCGATAAGAGGTTAAGAGGGCAGGCCCTCAGGCAACTGTCTTTTGAAATACTAACAATACCAATTAGGCTTCAATTTACATTTAATTTGATAGGGCATTCTTAGCTACCAGGTCAATTGCCTTCATTTTATTCATGGAGTTCAAAAGCCTGGGTGAATCTGGGTTTGAGCTTGCTAGCCAGCTACACCTAAGGCCACTAAGGAAGCAATCAGTGCAAGCTATCAGTGATCACCCCACCCAAAAGAGGCCACAGCACCCTCGTGCGGCAGCTGGGGGAATGAACAAATACAATGCACATGTAGTACTTAATAGTCTGCTGATGATTACCCTATGCCTTTTACCCACTACTGTTCTCTACTGTCTGGAATATCTGTTTCCTATTATTCATCTGGGAAATTCCTTCACAGCCATTGTTGATTCACACTCTATCAGACCCTGTCATCTCCGTGACCTGCCACAAGGAACAAGCCCTATCTCTTTTGGAGAAGTCCCTACTTGTAACTCTACTTGGAACACTCACTGTAGTTGCTTATTTAAATATCTTTCCATGGTTACTATACACGTGGCCCAGGTCTTATTCATCGCTGAACCTCAAGTGTTCAGAGCATGCACTGTTGGTTCTCCTATCCGAATACTTCATTCTATAATCAGCCCACCTTTCTTCTGGAGTAGATTGAGACTTTACTATTAAGTATGTCATTAATTCTAGCAAAACAACTGTCCTAACAAATTAATTTCAATTGAAGCCTAATTGGTATTTCTAGTATTCAAAAAGGCAGTTAACTGAACATAAACATCTACAGATAAATGGTCTCTAGTGAGAATGCTCTTGTCTTAACATTTCATGTTTTTTTTTGGAATGTGCTAGCAAATTCAATTTAGAAGATACTAAAACCAAAACTACAGTTGGTAATTGAAAATGTATTGCTTTTATAATGGGGAACAAGTTATTAGAATTTCAAGGACAGAAAATAACTAGAATACTTTGGACTGGGCTTATAGCTCAGTGTAGTGTGGCCTTAGTATGACCTTGGTCCACAGTTCAATTCCAGAACCAAGAAAAAACCAAATAACAAGAAAACCTTTCAATATCAGTATGGAAATTCTTTTATGTCCAGTCCTTTCAACCTGCTTCTCCTAACTGCTCCATGAGCAAGGACTGGAGTGAAGACTCCATATTTTACACTTGGCCTTTTCGGTGTCTATTCAATCAAGTTTTTAATAAGATACACTAATATTATTTTAATAACTTTCTAGAGAAAGAGCATTCATATATGAAAATACATGAATCCACATACACTTATGGATCTACCTTTGAAAAGGACTATTATCAGTCCCCTTAAGAAACATAATAAGTTTCTTTCTTTCTTTTTTTTTTTTTGGTCCGGTCGTGGGGCCTGAACTCTGGGCCTGGCCGCTGTCCCTCAGCTCTTCAGCTCAAGGCTAGCGCTCTACCTCTTGAGCCACAGCGCCACTTCCGGCTTTTTTCTTTTTACTTATGTGGTGCTGAGGAATCGAACCCAGGGCCTCATGCATGCAAGGCAAACACTCTACCACTGAGTCACCTTCCCAGGCCCACATAATAAGTTTCTAATGATAAAAACTATATGTTGCCTTAAAAGGGGCCAGTGAGGATTGTAGTTCGAAGCCAGCCTGGGAAAAAAAGTCTGCTAAGACTCTTTTTTTTTTTTGGGTCCGGTAGTGGGGCCTGAACTCTGGGCCTGGGCACTGTCCCTCAGCTCTTCAGCTCAAGGCTAGCGCTCTACCACTTGAGCCACAGCGCCACTTCCGGCTTTTTTCTTTTTGCTTATGTGGTGCTAAGGAATCGAACCCAGGGCCTCAAGCATGCAAGGCAAGCGCTCTACCACTGAGCCACCTTCCCAGCCCTGCTAAGACTCTTATCTCTAACTAACCACCAAAAAGGGAGAAATGGAGCTGTGGCTCAAGTGGTAGAGTACTCGTGTTGAGCAGAACAAGCTCAGGGATGGAGCCCAGGTCCTGAGTTCAAGCCCTAGTACTGTCCCCGACCCCCACCCCCCAAAATAGGAGGGATTTTGGTAAAGGAGAGATTTAAAACACTAGACATTAGAGAGCCAGTACCTCAATGCAGATGTGATGTATTCCTCCAGACTTATTCTTCTTCAGGAAACCTTCGATCGGACTCTCATCTCCCAGCGGATGGAGCAGTTCCATCTTGGTATTTCCCAGGTCGACAAAAGAAACGGAGACTCCGTGTTCAGGAAGAGGGACCGCCTCGCTCACCTTGGCCCCCATAACATCCCGATAAAACGCCATGGTCTTTGGCAGGTCTGGCACCGCTATGGCTACATGGTTGAGCCGACCCAGTTTCCACACATCAGCGGCTGCCTGACGCAGGGGCTGCCAAGTGGAAAAAGCTCTTCCTGCTCGAATTGGAGTCTGGAGTCTGAAATAAAACCCTGGAAGATGGAACCCGGGGACAATTACTGTACTTTTAATTTATAAATCTAAAGAAATAAATCATAATTTGAATCTTTTCAAATAATAATTTGAAATTAAGTTAGGAGAGACACAGGGAAAAGTTTATGCCAAAACTACTCCCTCTGCTCTGCCAAGGATGAAAAAGCTGTCTAGAATTAAAAAAAAAAAAAAACACACACACACAAAAACTGGGCTGGGAAGGTGGCTCAGTGGTAGAGAGCTTGCGTTGCATGCATGAGGCCCTGGGTTCGATTCCTCAGCACTACATAAGCAGAAAAAGCCAGAAGTGGTGCTGTAGCTCAAGTGGTAGAGTGCTAGCCTTGAGCTGAGGGACAGCGCCCAGGCCCAGAGTTCAGGCCCCACGACCCACAAAACACACACACACACACACACACACACACACACACACAGAATTAAAGAAACTAATTCTGAGCTTCAACAACGTTATACTAAAGAATGACGCTTTTCATAATAACATACATTTCCTGGTAATACTAAAATGATGGGTGCATATTGAGAATTGTTCATAAATCTCTGTACTTCATGGAGAGGTGAATTTGAATATGGTAGTAAGATAACACGGAACACATACCACACATATATGGTTATAAGGGCAAACCATCTTCTTTGTTACCAGACACATATCCCATTTCTAGCCTGTAATAAGTTCATGAAAGGCATATCTATATAGTATTTTTAATGGGTTATTTTTTCAGTAACGGCTAAGGAAAATTTTGAAGTATTGGGGGAAACAAGCAAAGTCTGAGGAAGTACTTGTTTCCTCTGGGACAAGGTTTGGCTTTTACTTTTGTTTTAGTGTTTTTTTAATTGGGTTTTTTGGTTTGTTTGTTTTTTGCCAGTCCTGGGGCTTGAATTTAGGGCCTGGGCACTATCTCTGAGCAATTTTGCTCAAGGCTAGTGCTCTACCTTTGAGCCACAGTGCCACTTCTGGTTTTCTGGTAATTAACTCTGAGATAAGAGTCTCAGGGACTTTCCTGCTCAGGCTGGCTTTCAATTGAAGCTCTGACTATCTCAGCCTCCAAAGCAGCTATGATTATAGGCACCAGCCACCTGTTCCTGGCTTGGGACAAGGTTATTTCTTTCATAATTATACAATCTGAGCAGAACTGCTCCTACATTGATTGCTGAAATACTCAAAGATTTTCATATTCAATAGATTAATATGGTCTGGTTTTATGGACACACTGTATTCTAAAATCCAAATGTGCCAAAATGCAGTACACACAGACATAAATGTACAACTGAAACTAAAGCCCACAAAAGAATACTTAGTCCCTGCTGTCAGTGATATGTCCTGATTATTTTCTAATCTTGTATTTCCCATGTTTTCAAAACACTTTAGCACTATCCATTAAATATTAAAGAATTTGCCTGTTTTTGCGAAGAATAGGTAGTTGGTGCCTAAGCATGTATGTATACTAGGGCCACAATAAATCTCCTCATTCTTAATTACTACTGACATGCAATGCTGTCATTATTGGAGTCTTTTCTCCAATTAACTAGGAAAAAGCTGAAAGTGGAAGCCATAACTCAAGTGGTACAGCACCAGTCATGAGTAAAAATGTTGAGGCCCTGCATTCAAGCCCTTGTTCAGGCATTAAAAAAAAAAAAAGCTATTGAGTCTGTAAGATTTTAAGGGTCTGCCAAATACTCAGTATTTTCTCTTAGCATGAGTTTAGCCTACATAAGATGAGTCAACCAGAAGACTCCATAAATGTCTTACTAAGGACAATGAGCAGACATCCTAGTCCAAAGGGACAGACTGCAGGATGCCCAAGTAAAAACAAAGGATAAACCTGGTACCAGATTGCTTTAGGGACATTTCTAAAACTGCCCTGGACAGGAAGCTCAAGCAACTCACTGCACTTTTTCTTTCTTAACATCTGGCTTATTAGAACAAGTTCTTTTTCTTTAATCTAAAAAGATCTCCTTTATATGCAATCAAGACAGAAACAGCAGCCTCTTCATATACTGTAAGATTTATGGTTTTTGAAGGTTATGTTATCTCTAGAAGTGTAACTGGTTTGGGAAGGGTAATGGCTTTTATTGGTTTCATTTGGTCCCTACACTGTAAATTCAAGGAACAGGACAGACAAATACAATGACACCATTGAAATTTCACCAATTCAGTTCCTTTAAAACAAAGGGATAATAAATAAAACTAGCCAATAACCACACCAGATACTCAATAACATTAGCAATCCAAGCCACAGAGATACCATTTTACACTCAAGAAGAAAACTCCCAAATAGCAAGTGTTGGAACCCTGGCATCTTGCTGGTGAAAATGTACAATGGTGTATGCAGTTTCTCAAAAAAAAAAAATTAGAACATTATATGACCCAACAAGTACCCCAGCAACTGCAACTAGAATCTCATAAACTAATATGTATAGCAACAGTATTCCCCAACAGCCAAAAAAATGAAACATTACACATACCTTTACAATGGACTATTAAGAAGTGCTACAACATTATGATAAGTGACAGAAGGCAGACACAAATGATCCTATAGCATGTGATCTCATTAGTATCAAATATCACGTATAGGAAACGCACAGGCAGAGGCAGAATAGTGGCTGCTGAGGGGAGGGGAGGGGAGGGGAGGGGAGGGGAGGGGAGGGGAGGGGAGGGGAGGGGAGGGGAGGGTTGCAGAATGATTGCTTAATACAAACGGGTTTCCTTTTGGGGTTATGCAAAAGGTCTCGGGACAAGATAGAGGTGATAGCTCCACAACATGGCAAATGTAATAAATGCTAGTTCACTTATACATTTTAATGGCTAATTTTATGCTACTTAAACTTTAAAGGAGTAGGAAGAGGAGACACTAGGCATTGAAAGATCTGTGGATGGAATCCTATAGATCAAGCAAAAACTGGGTAAAGAACAGTGTTTTAAATTATACACACATATCTAAATGTATATTTATATAACATGTTTATATTTATATTATGTGCTATATTTTTATATATTACATGAAAAACATTTTGAGTAATGACAAAAAATATTGAACACACAATGGACAATTTTATATGTGAACGTATTGTGACATAATATGAAGCCAACATTTCAAACATTTTGTAGCTTATCTGTTATGCGAAAGTGTGTATGCACTCTTAATTCTTACCTCTCCCTTAGTATTGGATCTCACGAGTCACGTTCTTACTAATCACTTAAAAGTACCGTCGTTCTTCCTGTTCAGATTTGGCATTTCAGGTCAATTTCTCCAAGCATAAAAGTAAAGATCTAGCTGCAAGAGTCTATCGTCAAATGTACTGAAGTATATTGTGTAAAAATTAGATATTAACTTTGTCACTTGCTAGGATTTATAGTCAGTAGAGGGCAGAATCTCATGGGTTAAAAAAAAAACCAAAAACTTTTATTTTACCTCACATTTCCCATAATGCCTATGGGTTTACTTCAGTTAGAATTACATGCTGATGCTACTATGTAACTTTGCTTCAATCTGGAATCATGTTTAACTGTGAAGTCACAAACTCCAAGTATTATGTCATAGGAAGGCTCCATGTAATGATATAGCCCTACCAGTCTTCAAGGCCATAAAAAAATTGAGATAGCGGTTAGGAGTTCAGTGAGCACTTCATTTCACCTAATTCCCCCAATAATTCTATGACAGACCTTAAGTCATTTCCTTAATGCCATACCAAGTAGCAATGCCAAGATGTGTCAATACCACAGTTGATTTAGTCAATCATTAAACTCTCACTCCTTTAGAACTATTTGTTTTGGCTGGAGGTTGAATACAGACCCTGTACATTCTAGAAAGGCTCTATTTCCATCTATACTCCTAACCTTTACAATTCTTTCAATTCCCAATTTTTAATCTTACTGGTATATGTCCTCTGAGCAATACTGCTTGATAAGAGAGATTACTTCATTTCATGAGGTGCTTTTTTTTTTTTTCTCCTTCCCCCAAAATGTATGTGAATCCAGGTACCAGTGACTCAGGCCTGTAATTCTAAGCTACTCAAGAGACTGAGATCTGAGGCTCACAATTTCCCAGCAGGAAAGTCCAGGAGACATTCAATTCTAATTAATTACAAAAAAAACCCAAAAGTTGAGCTGCGACTCAAGTGGTATGGTACAGTGCCAACCTCAAACAAAAATACTAAGTGTCCAGGCCCTGAGTTCAACCCCTAGTACTTCCTCCACCCCCTCCCTAAAGGTATTTAAACTAAGATCCTGACTTAGATTTTTACCAAAGGCTAAAGTGTATTATCAAAAACTTGAATATTGAATATCATGTTATTCAGGAATTCTGTGTCAACTGTGCTTCAGACCATTACAATATTTGTTTCTATTTAGGCGGATGATATATATTGTCCCTTTAACCTGAATTAAGTATGGAGATAGCTAAACCTAATAGGATGAGACTTTGCTTTCTGTGTGGCTCATCACTTAGCCCCTGTAACTTTTAGATAATTCAGCAAAGTTGTGATTGTTGGAAAATACTAAAGTAATCAAGTAACTAACTCAATTTGAGATGGGTCTCAAAAGATGACTTGAACTGATAAGTCAAACAGGTGGGATAAGAGCATTTTAAAAAAATAATAAAATTGTGCCAGTACTTGGGTTTAAACTGAGGGCCTTAGTACTTGCTCTAGGCTGGTGCTCTACCACAATTCCACCCAGCTTTTCATTATTTAATTGGTGATGAGTCTCAGATTTGTCTGCTCTTCCTGGTTTCAAGCTTAAACCCTCAAATCTCAGCCTTTGGAGTCACTGGGATTATATGTGTGAGCCACCTATGCTAATCCCTTTTATTTTATTTTTTTCCTTTTAGGAGAAAAGTCTGGGATTAACAAAGCTTTATTCATTCTCTCCAACGTTTTTAAAACACACTAGTTGAAGGCTTTGTCACTAATGTTCCGGAGTAACGCTGAGGCTTTATGGCTTTGCACTTTCTCCCAACAGGAAAGCTCAGATTAAAACAAAAAAAACAGAAAGGAGAAAGTGCAGGAGTTAGAAAACTTGAACAACTAACATTAACTGCTGATTCTAACTATTAAAAAAAAAATCGAGGTGAAGAGTACTTAAGGTACATCCAATCCCTCTGCCTTTATTTTTCTTGTTTATGTACAAAATGATACATATATTGGGATATATGAGTAAAACACTCCTTCCTTATATCTTATACTGGGCTAACCGCCAGGTGTTCCCAGCAAGTTTAAACCCATCAAATCTTTTGTTTTCTCCTTAAGGTGTACAAGACAGTAACAGTCTCTTCTCTTTCCTTCAGAGTGTGTGTGTGTGTGTGTGTGTGTGTGTGTGTGTGTGTCTGTCTGTCTGTGTGTGTGTGTCTGTCTGTGTGTGCTGGTACTGGGGCTTGAACTCGGGGCTTAGCGCTCTTGCTTGGATTTTTCGATCACAGCTGGTGCTCTACCACTTGATCCACGTTTCCCCCTTGTTTGTGCTGTTTGTTGCTGGCTTTGAACTGCAGTCCTCCGATCTCAGCCTCTTGAGCAGCTGGATCACAGGCAAGAGCCTGTCCTCACATCTGTCCCCGACCTGTGCGTGCGTCCCCGGACAGGTTCCCCTCGTCTCTCGGGCCCGCGGGAAGAAGGACCACAAGCCCTGGAAAACTTCCCGGGGTGCCGGGCAGACTCGCAGAGATCCCGCGGTCGGGTCCGGGGCTGAGGGCCGCGGGGAACCGCTGCAGCGCCGGGTCCCGGACGCGTCACATCCACATGCCCCGACCACGCCGCGGCCTCCTCCGCCCCGGCCTGCCGCCCCACACGCCCAGCCCCACGGGGATCTGAGGGAGCCCCGTATTCACCTGCTGCGGTGTTGGCCGCGGCCGCCGCGGCCTTCAACACGCGCGCCATCTTGGGGAAGAGACAGGCTAAAGCGCGAGAGCCGGAGGAGCTGGCGAGGAAATCGGCTCCGGGACGCGGCCAGAGGGGTGGGCGTGGCGTAAGACAGAGGGGCGTGGCGTAAGGTGGAGGGCGTGGTGTGTGATGAGATGGGCGGGCGAGGCATTGTATCGAGAGGGCGTGGCATTGGCTTGGGGGCGTGGCGTGAGGTAGAAGGGCGGAGCAGGGTGCGGAGGGCGGGGCATCCTATAGAAGGGCGGGGCACGAGGCTGGGGGCGGGGCATGAGGCGGAGGGCAAGGCGAGCGTAGTTACGTTCCGAAGGATTTAGGAAGCGGCCCGCTCTTCTGTTATAATGTCGCCAGACCACTTACTGTACCTAAAGCACAAAGCGACTTCGCATCACCATTAGTGGGGAGGAAGCCCCAAACACTTTTTAGAGGAAGCGCAAGCGTGCTCTGGTTGATCCAGTACTGTTTCCGTTTCCTGCTCCGCCCCTGTCCCCGCCTCCAATGGAAATTCTCGCGTTGCCATTGGCTCCGGCTTAGCTGTGGGTCCGGAAGCTGTGTGCGGCGGAACCCTTGGTTCTGAGCTCGGGTTTCCCCGGGCGCGTCTTCGTCGCGCGGCTTCCCGTGGGCTCTCTTCCGGTCGCACGCGGCGCGGTGCGTGGAGGCCTTTGGCTGCCATGGCTCACCCGGCCTGGCGCCGACGGACCCTGGAACGGTGTCTGCGGGAGGCCGGGAAAGCCACCAGCCGGCCCGAGAGCTTCCTCACGTAAGTGGCGCGGATCCGGGGCCCGGGGGCGGCCTCGGATTTCCCGGGCATGGGTTGCAAATCCTAGGGCCGAACCCGGACTGGGGGGAAATGAAAGGGGGGTTTAGATCCTGTTCCTCCAAATCTCAGTCAGTTCTGCTTCCGTGATCTCTCAAGATCTTAGGTTCCCAGTTAGTGCTGTTGACAGCGAACCAAGCCCAGTCATGAAGGCCCAGAGGCCCCCCTCGAATTGCCCGCCGCACCCCGATCTCTTGAACGCACTAACTTGCTGCTTTCTGTGCAACTCCCCCAGTCTCGCGCGCATGACCTAGCATCTTGAGTATTCCGACTATTTTTCCACCCCCACTTTGCCATTGCAATGTTTCGGACTTAATTTTTGCTCAAGGAGTTTAAGATCTCCTAAAATTACGACTCAGGTTCTTCCTAGAGTTCCAACTGTCGATGCTGTGTGACAGACGTTACATACCCAAATCTGATGGAAAACAGAGTGATAGTTCGGTCGCTCTAGTTACTCGGAGTCTAGACTGCTTCTGTGGTGCCTTCCGCTTTCTCTGTGCTACCTCTGATTCTTCGGCAAGCCCGTTCGTCCTTCCTGTCAGTATTACCTTTATAAAGTAGGCTCTGCGATTCTTCTGTTGCTATATGCACTGCTCTGACTCCCAACAAAAACCTCTGTCCTCCTTTGCTTGGATTGCTACTTCAACCTCTCAGTCACCCTACCTTCATTCTTTTTGTGCTGGTCGACTTTCCAGAGTATAAGTCATCATCATTGCATTTTGTGTGTGTGTGTGTGTGTGTGTGTGTGTGTGTGTGTGTGTGTGTGTGTGTGTGTGTGTGTGTGTGTAGGCATACACGTGTGTGCTAGTACTGGGGCTTAAACTGTCATTTTTTGCTCACATCTCTGATGCTCTACCATTAAGAGCCACATCTTCACTTCTGGCTTTTTGATTGTTAATTGGAGTTAAAAGTCTCACAGACTTTGCTACCTAGGTTGGCTTTTGAACCTCAATCCTCAGATCTCAGCCTCCTGAGTAGCTAGGATTACCAGCATGAGCCAGTGTCAACCCAGCTCATTTCATTTTTTGACCTAAAATCATCATTCTTTCTTGGTACAGTTAAAGTGGCAGACTCTTAACCTCAAAAACCTGCTTAGTTAAGTTTCTCCTAACCTCCTTCACCACAGTGTAGCTGAGGCAGTTTTCTTTTTCAAGCTTTTCAGGCTGGATTCTATCTTGGAGAATTTGTTCTTGCTGGTTATTCTGCCCAGAGTACATGTTACTAACTCTTCGTAACAGTAACCTTTTTTAATCTGTCAGGTATCACATTCCCCAGAGATGCCTTCCCCCATTTTTCTAGCCAAAGCAGATGTTGGCCACTAGCAGAATGAATGGAAGTAGTATATAATGTAGCTGAGTTGAAAATGTAAGTCTAATTTACTATAGGTCATTATTATTACATAGTTGCACAAAGGAGTTGCCATTCATGTAAGCAGTTTATGAATACAGGGCATCTTGATCATTGTCACTGCTTTCAATATTCTCACCCACCCTTCCCCCCCTCCCATCCCTACCTTCACTGTTCTTAAATTTTTTTAGGATATGTATTGAATTTTTTTTTGTCATTTTAACAAAGGAGTTTATATGTTTACCATGCATCTTGATCTGTATCATCCCTTGAACATCTTCACCCGCCTTTGACTCATCCTTTCCGCATATTTTTCTTAATTTTGTGGTACATACAATGAATTCTATATTTATCTACTATTCCCCTGGCCCTGTTTCCCTCTTGCAAGTACCCATTTTGAGGTACTTATTTTGTTGGGCCTTGAGTTTTTCTAAAGAATTACACTATCTGAGCTTCCCATAGAATATATTGTACTTCAGTTAACTCATTTGCAACCACTTTCATACCCACCAGTTGTTTACTTACAGATTTATGGGAACTTTGTATCTGCCACAAATGAGGGAAAGCATGTAACGTTGTGTTTCTCTGGGTCTGGCTTATTTCACTTAGTATAATTTTTTTCCAAGTCTTTGCATTTCCTTATGAATGTTCTTTATACAGATACATCTCTTGTGGTTTTCCTGTCTAAAATCTATACAGTCAACTCAAACACTTGGTTGACATTTCCTATATCAGTCTGGCTCATCAGCAAAATATGATGTTGGGAGCCATAACGTATACTTAAAAATCAGTAGTTTGGCTGGGCGCTGGTGGCTCGTGCTTGTGATCCTAGCTCTCTGGAGGCTTATATCTGAGGATTGTGGTTCAAGGTCAGCCCAGCCAGAACAGTCTGTTGTGAGACTCTTATCTGCCATTAACCAGCAAAATGGCAGAAGTGGAAGTGTGGCTCAAGTGCAGTGCCAGCTTTGAACTAAACAACCAAGTGAGAACTTGAGGCCCTGAGTTCAAGCCCCAGTACCGGCACACACAAAAAATAGTATTTAATTTTTTCACTATTTTACTTTGTTTAAGAGTTGGGGGTTTTTGCTTTTCTTCTAATTCAGAGTGCTGTCATATTATTATGTGTTAATTTCTAACTTAATCCTTTTCCCCAATAGGATTCAAGATGGATTAGCAACAAATTTCACTTCTTTAACAAAAGTTCTTTATGACTTCAACAAAGTACTAGAGAATGGTGAGATCTCCGGGAGTCCTTTACAGAAACTTGTGATAGACAATTTTGATGATGAGCAGATTTGGCAGCAATTGGAATTGCAAAACAAGCCAGTTTTACAGTACTTCCAGAATGCAGTCAATGAAACAGTGAAAGATGAGGACATCAGCCTTCTCCCTGAGAGTGGAGAGCAGGAGTGTGAAGAGGATGGCTCAGACACAGAGGCTGATGGCCAGGAGGACATAGAACAAGATTTGGAGGAGGAGGAACTGTCAGAGGTAGATAATGACAATCCTAAATTGGATGGCAAGGTGAAAAAATCAAGACAACATAAACTCAGGGAAAGCCCCGTGTTCAGTGATGAAGAGTCTGACCTTGACTTTGATATCAGCAAATTGGAACAGCAGAGCAAATTGGAACAGCAGAGCAAGGTGCCAAAGAAACTGCCTGGGAAACCATGCGAGAAGTCTGTGGTCGATGACAAATTCTTCAAACTCTCTGAAATGGAGACCTTTTTAGACAAAATGGAAAAGGAAGAGGAAAAAGATGAAGAGGTAGAAGAGGAAGATGTGGACCTTTTTGAAGACATTGATTCTGATGACGAGGGAGAATTGTTTGGAAGTAAAAAACCTAAGGTAAAGTTTGGCGAAAGTAGATTTCCTTCCTCAAATTAGGTGTCTTCCCTACGAAAGTGCCATCAAATTTACCAAAGCCCAAGTGAAATTCTAGATCTAGAAGTTAACTGAAGAAATTAAACTATGTAGCTCAAGAACCATGATCACACGTGTCCCTCAAACATGTGTTTTCACCAGACACTAAAAATTCTGAAAGCTGGGTATGGTAGTAAACACACCTGTAATCTCAGCAACGGGGAGGCTGGGGCAAGAGGATCATGAATAAGAGGCCAGCCTGGGTTACACAGTGAGATGTTGGCTCCAAAACACAAGTGAAAAGGAGGGATTTAATACCGATTTAGGCAGGGGTATTTTTGGAAGTAATTACAGCTCTGAAATAGTGTATTTTTATTATATGTTTCCAGTTTATATTCCAGTTATTCTTACAGTTTTAGGGAACTGTTATTAGTTGCTAGCATTATTCATGACTATTTCTGGCTGGTATTGTTAAAGTCAGAAAACATAGCATTGTTTTTATATGCTGTTTTTGTTTTGTTGGTGGTGGTGGTCGTGGGGCTTGAACTCTGGGCTTGGGCGCTTTCCCTGAGCTCTTCAGCTCAAGGCAAGCGCTCTACTGCTTGAGCCACAATTTGTTTTTTCCCTTCCCCTCCCCAAATTATACCAACATCAAATACAGTGAAAACGGAGGTTATACCGTGGGGGAGGGACATAGAAAGCAACAAAGAAATCATCTTATAAATATGTTAGGAACAATAGCAAGAAAGAAAAACCATTTGAGTCCTTATCTTGGGGTTCATCTCGCCTAACATCAACTTATTTATATATTTTTATGTCTTCAAATGTTCTTTATTCTTTTAGGCAGGTAAAAGCTCCCGTGATTTGAAATACAAAGATTTCTTTGATCCAGTTGGAAGTAATGGAGACATGGCAAGTGCTGATAGCGATGAGTTGGGTTCAAACAAAGAAGAGGAAGACACTGCCGACGAAGAGGCGGAAGAGGCAGAAGGAAGCATTTCTGAAATGTGAGTAATGCAAATCGTCCTCT